CCTGGGATCACGACCTGAGCCGAAGGCAGACACTTAACGACTGAGCCACTCAGGCACCCAAAATTATTTCAGTTTTAGAATCTTCACATCCCTTGCACAAATGAATACTCATTAAATGAATGAATGTATTTTTAAATGAGAAAAAAATGTTGAACAAGGCTTATTTTTATTTTCAAATACAGAATCAGATTTAATATGTAAGAGTATCTGTTTAAAACATGCATTATTGGGGTGCCTGGGTGGCTCAGTTGGTTAAGCATCTGATTCTTGGTTTTGACTCAGGTCGTGATCTCATGGGTCATGTGATGAGCCCTTCACTGGGCTCTGCTCAGAGGGGAATCTGCTTGAAGATTCTCTCCCTGTGCCCCTCTCCCTATTCGCTCTCTCTTGTTCTCTAAAATAAAATAAATAAATCTTTTAAAAAATGAAAAATAAAAAATAAAACATGCATTATTAAGTACCTTCTTTGAAAGATATATAAAACTTCTTAATTCGTGAACTAGATCATCAATACAGAAATTAATGAGATTCAGTGTCTGACCATTCTCTTTCCATCACTTGCTCTGTTTATACACTGGCATAAAGCCTCTGGCATTCTGGGACAGAGCAAGTCACTGATAGGCAGGAAACATAAAGTCACTTTTTTGTCACTTTGACAGACCTTGCCAAACCTTATATGCTGTGGACCAGTAGTCTTTCTTCGGTTCTCACAAAGTAGTTTTTTTTAAAAAAGTGAACACATGACTCATAAGCAACTACAGAGGAACTATAAAACAAGCTTAGTAGATTGAAAACATGAAGATTCACTTTATTTAGAAGTATATGTCTATATGTTATGTACCTTCTTCACGGCTGACTCTTGCATTAAACACATTTCAGAGACAACAGTTCCCTCAAAAAATAATCAACATTTCCAACCCCTTTATAAAAATGTGCAGGCATATTTTCTAGGTTAATGTACAAATGAAATAAGTCACAAAGTCAGTATGAGCAAAGCATGCGATTCTTAGTTTTTTTGATTTTAAAAGAAAGGGTTTAAACAACTTTCAAAGTGATAAAAACCCTTACGTAACTAAACGGGGATTTTAGTTTCCATGTTTTTAATTTAAAAATTCTAAGGATCCCTTACTAGATTTATTACCTGGGACCTGATTCTTATTCCATGCCTGCTTGTTTACAAATAGTCTAATGTCATTTAAACAGAATTTTCTCTTTCAAGCCACATACTGAATCCACATATCTCTTTTATTTCAAAATGTTATGTCACATAACAGAGGATCTACTTTAACCCACATGTGGGATCTAAAGAGCATGTATTTATCATGAGTTCTAAGAGGCCAAAGTATCACCGAATAGGTTATTTCCTCGAATCTATTACTGGCATTCTAGAGCGGTCTGGTGTTTGCCTTTATGTTCCATCTTCTAGAAAGAACAAAATTATAGCTTTCAAAAGAGCCAATTTTTTATTATACCAACTGCAGCTGGCATTTTTCTTAATACCAGATACGTTTTCCCGGCCTAAATTAATGCATTCTGAGCAGGGTGAGAAAGGGTCTCCCAGAAATACCAATGGCAAAAAAACCAGGCTCTGAAGAATTCTTTATACAAGGCAGGTGGTGAAACTGATTTGGGCTTATCTGAGGAACCTGGACAGAAAACCTCTCAGACAACGCCCTGCTTTTCTAACTTCACCAAGATAGAAATATTTGTGAGAATTCTGCCTGCAGATTTTTTGGTCACAATTCTACAAAAAAAAAAAAAAAAAATTAAGTCCGTAAAATACCAATTCTTGCAATGACTTTATTGAAAAGCAAATGATCTGTTTAGATGAGTCAAAGCTGCCACGGATCCCCAGATACTGTGCTCAGGTGAAGTGCCAATGCAATGACCTTCAGTGTAATGGAATTTCATGCTAGCTAAAACAACGTGTGACGGCTCCGTTGCCAAGGGGGAGAGCAGGCATAGTTTTGTACCCCCCTCAGTAACTATGAGGCTCTAAGAGGTATTTCCTCACCTCTCACACAACCGTTACTCAGTGCTTCTGCTATAGATAACAACAAAAAACCCTGCAAGCTGACCAGTCGCACAAGATAGCTGACTGGAGAAGAAGAAATAAATAATTTCTTCCGGCAGCTCATCAGTGGATACACATATATTGACGGTGGGCCAAGCTTTTCAGTCACACAGTTGCATTCGGCAAAACTGGATCTAGTGTCCTTTTTTGGATGTTTTTTAGAGGGTTGTTTTGAATGTAACTTTAAAACCTAATTACTTCACATTTCCAAGGTACCAGACCATAAAATGGTATGAATTCTAACAGGCAAAATAATCTAATATGAAAAATAATTTTATGCTCTCAGAAGTGGGTGACCTTTACTAACCCACATTGTTTCTTGAAAAATGAGATTGACTTTAAGTGGGTATGACAACTACTTATGGATAGCTAAAATATCCAGACCAAATGCTATTTATTTCCCCTATTTTTAAAAGTTTATCATTTTAACTTTTTAAACAGTAATAACAAGAAACACTTCTTTGAACTTTGCCAGTCTGTAATATTAACCTTTGTCCAAATGCCCTGAAATTAATTCACGTGCAGCAACCTGAAGCCAGTGCTTAGGAACTGAGCTCTGCTCTCCCTTGGCTATAGTTTTACATATTAAGAATAGGTGCGCTTGTGCTTGCGCTCGCGCTTGTGCTTGCGCTCGCGCATGTGCACATGCACACATACACACACTCCTTCACTCACATGTTTTCTGGAACTAATTAAAAGTTAAATGAAAACTGACCAGTGTAAACGGAGGAGAAAAGTTTCAGTTGACAAGACTTGGTAAATACTGTAAAGGCAGTACCTGTGCTAACATATGCAAAGAGTCTATTAAATATATTATTCTCAATTATTGCTAATCATCTAATAGTTGAATGCGTTCATATTTCCAGATAAAGAAAAGCTCACACTTATTCTTCCCTACCTCAACCCAAAACAGTGCGCACATACACGAGACTTACACCTTTATTTGCTTCATTAAAAAAACAAAAACAAAACAAAAAAGCTGCCAAACAGTTAAGCCATTGTTGTCACACAACTTCTTCTGAGGTGGCATGAAAACCACATTCCTGGGCATGGCATAATCATAGCGTCTGACCCCCCAAGAACCATTAAGTCAAATTCATTTACCCCCAGAGGGCTACACACTATTGTATCCTTTCCACTTTCTAGCCACCTATGAACAATGGAGAGTAATTGCAACTGTCACGGGCAGTCAGTAGGAAAAGTAAGCCAGTGCTATTTTCCCAGTTTTCTGCCAAACCTATCCAAGCACCTAATAACCATGCCCCCAACCGAAGAAAGATCCACAGTTGCTTTTTAAATGCATCAGAAAACAGCTTTTTTGAATAGAACCAGAAGACAATCACCAAACTTATGCTCTGAATGTGAAGCTTAAAAAACTCAAAATTAAAGACGGAACTTCTTTTGACTGTACTACAGCTTCCTGAACTAACCCCACAGGCAAGCCTGAAAGGAGAGCAGAGCTGCTTTCCTCTAAGCTTATCATCACTGCTGTGGCGGCTTTTAAGTCTGACTTGTGAAGAAAACGAGGGAGGGAAAAATGTTTGTCCTCCAATGGAATGAGATCACAAGACTTGGAACAGGCGGTCTTCTCTGTTCTACTCTCAGTTTTCACTCAGGTCAGAGGAGAATAAAGAACCTTGGAGAGAACACATCCTCTATCGTGGGTGCAAATGGGTTAAAAATCCAACATAATAATATAAAGGATCTGCTGCCTTGGAAGAGAGATTTCTCTGTTCTCTTTAAACTTGGTCTTCAAGCTCTTTAAGACATACAAATTATTATCTGTTTGAATTTGATTCCATTATAGATTTTGGTTACTGAATGTGTTGATTAGCACCCATTCTTTCTCTCACCATCAAGGCCTACTTAATCATAACCTGAATATATGTAAACTTTAAGTAGAATGGATGAAAAGTGAAATATTCAGTCCAGCATTTTCTGGAAGTTTCCAAATGCTGAGATGCTAGTGTCCTGCCTTTCTGCAGGATGCTCCAATGTAGCAGAGCCATAAGAAAGACAATTGCCTTTTTCATTGGGAGAACATGTGCGCATACATACATATGCAAAAAAGTTATTTATACACATATTTCTACATGTATATTAATATAAATCTGGTGATATTTTAAATATATTCAGCTTCTACCAAAAAATATAGAGTAATATATAACGAAATATTTTAATATTGATGAATAAGTAGTATTTTTTTTCTCAAAATTAATCCTTTAGAACTCAGAATCAAGTGTGCTATTGGCAACAAATAGAAAACCACAGACTGCCTACCAGGCTTTGAGAAAACACACATTAAAATTAACTGAAATGACCATTTGATTCTATTTTTATATGAGAAATTAAGCCCTCTCCCACTGTTATTAGTAAAAGTTTATTAAGATATGAATATTCAGTATCATGAAGTCCATACAGACTTTTTCTCTTAGTTGTTTGTAATGTCTGATTCAAATTAAACCAAACCAAAAATGTTGTTCTCGTTAGTGAAAAACAACCTTTTATTAAGCTTTCTCCATTCATCGTTTCTGGTTTTAAATGTAGATTATGTACATTCACAATTCTAATATGTACAATGTATAAAATCATCATAATAGGCAGTTTTTAACCTTGATATAAGTACATTCCTACTTACAAGGTAAATCATTAAAAATTTTTTTTTAAATGATGAAATCCAAAGCCTTTTGAAGATACAGTGGGGTTATTCTGTTAAAATGACATTTCATTTATCTAATAAGGCACAAACAAAGAGAAAATAAAAACCCTGACACATCCACTTTCAAGCCAGAAGGAAGAAACACCAAAGCCAGAGAATACATGAGGCAGGAAGGGATGGGGGGAGAAGCACTGTATCACTGTTATATTTCAAAATATAAACTTCATTTTCGTACATTTTGGATCAAAATAATTGCAAATATATTACCTTTTATTTCACCAAAGTTCCCTGATCCCATTGCAAGAAGTTTGTCTTTCCAGTCCTTTGAGAGTAGCTTTTCAATACTGGGGGTTTCTAAGTAAAGAAAAAAAAAAATGTAAGCAAATCAACACGACTATCTTTACAATGCAGCTCATTAAAAGTCTATCTGCTAAAAATAAGGCCATCCCTATCCGGGGCCCAGTTCATAATGACTTCATCAACAAACTGATAACTGGGGGGGGGGTGGGAAGAATGTGTTTTGTCACCTGCTGTTTCAAAATCATTAGCTTTTTCTTCTTGCGGAACAAAGCCGCACTAATTCTTTATGACAATGGGTACATATAAACCTGCAGTTCATTGTTTTTCAATTTGGTGAACAAATTCCTGCTATAATAGATGCTTGTCAATTTCAGGGTGTTAGTCTGCAGTCAAAAAATAATTATGTTGATAAAATGCAGAGCAAAAAAAAGGCAAAGAATTAGCTCTTAAATCTGCTACATGTAATTATATCCCTCTGTGTGTTTACAATTACATCCACTTTATAATATGTGTTTAACATCGTATGGTGGTAAGCACACTGTGGAAAGATTTGCCAGTACCGTGAACACTAAAAAAAAAAAAAAAAGTTGGTATAAAAGAAGCTTTACAAAGATTGCAAAATCTAGAAAAGTGAGTAATGCCTATAATGGAGACCTATTATTTGCTTATTTCAGATTTGTCTCACATTCTTTTAAAATGCCCAGTATTGAGACAGGGCACATATATTTTAAAGAGCAAGGTTATGCTTTAGTCTGATATTTGTTTCTATATATCACATGGTTTTTGACCTCTTCTTTTGTGTTGAATTTTAATGTATAAGTAAACATAAATGCTAATAAAACTCCCAAACATTAAACTCAATTCCAAACAATGTAATTGTATATTCTTGTCAGCATTTAGATGGGTACACAATTACAATGGCTTTCAATCCCACGATTAGCACTGCATTCAGTTAGAAAATGGAGTGTACTAAAAGATAAGTGTCCCAGTATGCTCCATCTAAATAACAATACCCACACTTAGTATCTGGATCTAAGACATACACTGCCATTCTCCACATTGGTGTTTATGTGTATTTGTGTTTGTTCAGACATTTGTTTACCCCCTACTAGGAGCATAAAGGGAGTACATGTTAACTTATCAAAGGGACCGTCTGGCCTAGAGACCATAAGATTATTAGAAACTGGTTCATTTTCCCCACAGTTAAAATGCATTTTAAGGTGTCATCATCATCTTTGGCTAATGCTATCTACTTCTCTCAGGTCTCCATCTTACAGCCATTGACTGTCAGAAAGCCCGTGTGGAGTTTTCAACAAAATAGAGGTGAAATTTCCTTGGAAAAACTGTGACAATATGGAATGCTTTTTTTTTTTTCTGGATGTCAAAAACTTCTGGAAAATAAAATAGTGAAAAGCTCTGAATGATTACTGCTTTACACAGTCTATGGTCTATACGTATGGTGCATACAAACACACACACACACACACACACATACACACACCCCTACCACAATTACTGTGTACACATTTACTATGGAATTTACTACGGAATGTGTAAGTTGTATTTTTTTTCCTTTGTAAGAAGGTATCTCTATTTCTTACATTTTAAGGAAGACGGATCCTAAGAAATTGCTTTTACTTTTTCTTCAAATAGCCCTCTTTCTGTACCACAGTGGTTTTGAAAATGGTAATGACAATTCTGAGTAATAAAACGGCTTAAATCTCTTCTTACTGTAATCAATATTTCTGTTCATTGAGGCTTTCAAAGTAACTTTAAAATACTTCTGCACGGATTTCCAATGTTTCTACATTCCCAGTAAACACTTCATGAGCGAAATCATTTTTTAAACCTTATCAGAGTAGGTCAAACAAACACCACTGTTTCTTTTTTCCAGCACTCCACAAAAATTCTTGAGTAGCATGTAAACAGGGCACAGCCTATACGGTATTTGCAATAGAGTACTGTCAGTCATTAAAAGCTAACAAACCTTTGCAAAGCAGGAATGCAGCAATAGAAATCCATTGTGCACTAACAATAGGCCCCTGAACCTCCCGGCACCAAAAGCAGACCATTTTACTTTTAAGGCTATTGTCTGCAAAGTCCATGACAAAGCTTTTCCCCTGCAGCTAGACAAAATATTCACTGTAGTGTGCTCATAAAGAAACAGAAGTCTTCTGTCTAAGTTGCAGAGTTAAAGTAACAGCCGCCAGATTTCTGAAACCTGCAGAACATTCCTGGCCTCTTTATTAACTTACATAAAGATAGAAGGCTCCTCCTATACAGAGCCACTTTTTTTTCAAATACCTGACTTTATATATATATATATATATATATATATACATATAAATAACTTCTTTAAGACCAAATAATTTGGAAGATGTAAAATCAGAAACATATCTAACTCGGGGATGCATGTCTGTGGATGAATACAGACACTAATATTTGCAATTTGGGTGAGGTATATATTTTAAATTAGATTCAGTAAACATTTATTGAGCAGTCTATGTGCCCGGAACTATGTTAGATGCTTTTACCTGTCTGTATTCTCTCGTTTAATCATAGCAAAAACCTGAAGACTCAGATTGTGCTATTATATCCATCACACAGGTTAAAAACAAAAGCAAAAAGAAAAAAAAAGGACTTGTCTGAGGTCTCACAAAATGTAATGGGCAGAATTGACTTTTTGAAGTAAGGTTTTGTTTTGTTTTGTTTTTTGCCTACAAATTCTGAACTCTCTTGTCAACAATGAAATGATAATGACAGCTACTATTTTGAGGGCTAAGTGCTAAGCAGTGTACCAGGTCCTTTACATGTGGTATCTCAAACTTCTCATAATAATCTTCTGAATTAGATATTTCCCTAAGCTTTGGTTTCTTAAGTGGTAAACAAATGCACCAATATCTAATTCAGAAGATTATTTTGAGAAGTTGCCCATAGGGAGCTAAGTTCAACCTACAGGATCCCAAAGTGAGGGGGACCAAAAGTACATCATTTCACCCACTTCACCTCTCTATCTGAACTACTATAAAATAAAGAGCTTTAAGCAAATCCACGTCCAGTATTCCTCCAGCTGCTACTGTTGTAGTTTGTCTCCACCGGTCGTTCATGAAGAGGTGGTTAAGAAATGATTTCACCATGGATGTTAATGAAGACAGTTAATGATGAGTTCACAATGGTCATAATGAACACAGTGGATGCACGGGTACTAATGACTGAATTTCTCTGAAAATGGTAAAGAACCCAGAGAATATAAATGACTAGAACTGTAAAAGACCAAATGGCAAAATCCCAATATTTATAATACACCTGTTCATTAAATGTGTGAATGTGATTAAAGTGAAATTTGACACAATTATGTAAGTGTTACTTCAGTGTTTATGGACTAAAAGAATATAGTAGTTATCTATTAAATATCCCATTTTCTAAAATGAGATGTGATTTTTTAAAATATGTGTAGAATTGTATTTTATATTGTGAGTACGTGTAGTATGTTTGTGGACATACTTATTTTCCAAAAGTTCAAATTCTGGGTTATCCATCATTTTCACATTAAGATATGCCACAGTTTTACTATAAGCACCTTTAAAGATTCTCCTGAGAGTTACTTCTCTCCAACATTGAAGTATTGCAATTACTGTCAAAATAAAAACTAGTGCTCCCTATATTAAAATAAGTGTGAGAGGTAATAGTAGCTCTTACTTTTGCATAGCATTTCGGTTTATATAATGCTGTCAGATGCAACAGCGTTGTCAATGGTATGCATTGTTATTACACCGTTTTGCAGATGAGAAAACTAAGGCTCAGAAAGATGCTTTTCCCAGCAACCTAGCCACAGAGTAGAACAGGGGGAATACAGAACCAGGGCCTTTTAATTCAGGGATCTGTGTCTTTAGGGGAAAGATAAATACGTACATATTTTAAAATTAAAAAAATAAAATAAATGGTAAGAAATAGCTATAAAATAAATTAGAGGGTGATGACAGACATGCTTATCAGTCAATCCATTAATATTACGATGACTCTAATTGGATTACTTTTGTCTCTTTCTGCCATCAGGACCTTTTTGATATGTTTGCTTGATTTTCCCTCCTCACCCTTGCCTCTTTTGCTCACATATGTTTCTTCACATCAATGCCTATGGCAATCCCCACCAGTGAATGGCCCCCCCAACTGTGCCAGCCATTGTTACAACAGCATCCTGCCTCTTTAGGGCCTGTTCATTCCCTATAACTCTCACTCCTTTTTCCCTTCAGTGCCAAACACTCTTAAGACTGACTCCCTCATCTGGAACAATGAGACCTAGAGACTCATGCCAACATATTGTAATTCTCCAACAAGCTGCCAGTGCCAAGAATTAAACCACATTCGCTCCAGTGCAGTAGCTTTACACACAAGCTCAGGTTTTTGCTTTGTGTTTATGTAGGTTTTTTCCCTTAACCTCCCTTGATCTGCAGTGGCAGAGCTCATTGAAAAATCGAACAAGCAAAAAACATGTATGTGTAATATTTGACTTTTTTAAAACAAAGTCCCCGGAGTTAGGTCTTACCAAATCTACCACGGTTTATACTTTAATTTTGTAGCCTAACCTAAGCTGTGTTATTCGTGACATGTGATAGGGTGCATGTTTAGGGATGGGAGTTGTCTTTTGGAAGGAACAACAGTATGTCTAAACTTCAAAATATATAGCAATACCTCTTCATAGTCAAGAAGTAAAAGTGACATTATGTAGATTATTCACATCGTAGAATCAGAATTTTAAAACCTGTATGGATCTTTAGATATCATTTAGATAAGCATTTCATAAAGGTAATTTATTAAATAAAACACACGACATAAACAGAACACAAATTGTTTGGTTACTTAAAACCAAAACAAACAAAATAAGCATTCCATTGTCATGTTAATCTCATTACATTCCACAAATTTACATTTCATTTCTACAAGATTTAGATCTATTTAAGGGCTAAGAGGCTGTCAATCTTTAAGTGAATTGTGGATTATATGGTGTAATTTAAATATCTGACCAAGGAAATCAGTGTTGGGAGATGACTGTT